CTTTTCAGAAGGACGGCTTTATGTGCAGGAATCAAACGTCCCCGCTGTCGTCTGAAGGCACAAATGTGTCGCGTGTCAGCGGCTGAATGAGAGGATTACCATGTCATTATAGTGCTGTGAGTCAGCAACGCTCTTCATGATGCCACTGCTGCTAAACAAAATCTCCTTATCCCCCGAAGGCAGAGAAAGCTAATATCCTGTATTTAGGTGAGCATTAAGGGCCATTACCACACAAACAGGATGCTTTACAGGGAACGCTCCGCTTCTGTTGGGTGGGGGCCTTGTTTTTCCTCTTTTATTGCATCAGAGAGAAGGTGGAGGAGGCACCGTCCTTCATATCTGGAAGCCTCGCGGCCCGTCAGCGCGAGAGCAGATGTGAGTGTGAGGCAAACAGAACGGCTATTTATATCCAACCACCTGCCCACCATCCACCCCGAGCACCTCCCTCTGAGGCCCTCTGCTGTGTCAAACACCCCCATCACTGTGGTGCATTACAGACACAGGTCTAGCACTGAGCTAATGGCCACAATCTAACCTTTAAGGCGTCGCTGTGATGTCCGAGCAGCGGAGGTTTGGATTTCTGAAGATTAAAAGGTGTTTTGTCCGACCTTTGTGTTCGTGTCGGTGGAAGTGGTCTGGCGAGCTAAACGGTCCCGCTGAGCTAAACCTCTGCAGCTGTTTTTAGGGTTTTCTGTTGTCCAATGAACAAAGAGCGCTGGCTGCTGCTGACGTGTGGCGTCGGGCTGTTCACCAGTAAAATATTCTACCACATTAACACCACCTTTCCTAAACAGGCCGATATTCCCCAGCTCCTTTCATTCCTCAACTATTTAATGTGCACTCACAGGAATTTCCAAGTGGAGACAACAGGAACTGGAACATCTGCTGAGTCGGCACTAACAGCAGCTTCAGATGAAGCACGTTACAGCAGAAACAGTCTCAAGCCCGACTCTGCAGCTTTGGACAGCTGGTCGCGCTTCAGCCAGTCATCAACTCACATTTAGGTTGTTTAGGACAAAACGGCGCTCGTCCAGTGATCCAAGCCACAAACACTCCCCACGTGTCTCCTGTCTAACCACGCCCTCTGCAGCAGTGCACGAGCATGCTGTGGGCACCTCTGTGATACCAACAACGGGACTACTTCACAGCATGTACAGCAGTACTATTTACAGCGCTCAGGGCCTCCAGCGCCTCCTGCAGGCCGTGCATGGTGTTGCTTTCTGGGACGTGGCTCAAACAGGCCTGTGACATCACTGCTGTTAGTTACCTGTGAGCGCGGTACACGCTTCCTGTGACAGCGCTGCAGATAATCTCTGAAACTGTGCTCGCTGAGAGGCTGATGGGTTTATTTCCTGTTATGATGTCACTGGCGGTGAAATTCTGAACCTTACTTTGTGCAGGCGGCACGCTCTCACTCACTGATCACATGACCTGGCACTTCCTGTCTGTCTGCCTCGTTCTGTCCTGTCACCTCTGATCCTCGGCCGCTTTGTGCCGGGCATTCAGACCTCATCTCACACGTCCTCGGGAATATTTGCCGGCATGTGATTGCCGACGCTCCGACCCTCGCCATCTTCACTCGATGAAGCGGCGCTTTAAAGCCTCGCGCTTTGCTGCACTCGCTGTAAGTCGCCTCGAATGAGTGTCGGCTAAATGCCTCCACAGTGAAATGAGACGGCAGCTAATAGAGTTGCGGCTGTGATTAGCCTCCGAGCTGCTGCAGTGAACTGCGGTGGCGGCTCGTATCAGCGGGGTCCCGCCGGCTCTGCTCGCCGGCTGACATGATAGCACTTCCTGTAGGAAAGATCCTAATTAATTGTTGTCATCATGTGTTTATTTGTGCCTGCGGCTGCTCCTCGTTTCCTGTCTCATCTCACCATCACGTCTCCGTCTGCCCAGTTTACTGTCACTCACACTGTCGCCTTATATTCCCTCTTTGTTCGTGTCCTTTCCTCCACACTTTCAGCTCCTTTCTTAAACCTTCTGCTCGTCCGGTTCGCCGTCAGATGCTCTCCAGGAGCCGCCATGTCAGCTCTACTGGAGCAGCTTTGCACGAGTCACAGTTCAGAATAATCCCCATGTGTCTGACAGCTTTTAGCTCCGCCCCCTTCAAGACATTTCACTTTGATTGGTTGCCCTTCCAAACAAACCACTGGAGCAGCAGGTGGGTGGGCTGTGGTGCAGAAGCTCCCACGGTGAATCACAGCAGAACCAAAGCGTGGTTCTGACACGCCCCTTCAGTGTGGACGGTTGCCTGTTGTGTGGTTGCACTCTGACAGCCTGCTAAACATCTGTACGCAGTGGTGGGGATGGTTTTCAGCATTTTAAAATCTCTCTCTGCTGCTCATTTATCAGGCGGCCGCAGGAGCTCTGCAGTGAAATCATCCTTGTTTAAAATGCTTGTTTGAGCGATGGTGTCTGAGCTCCACCCACCACCACAGCAGGCGTCACGAGGGGAATATCGAAACGACCGGAGGAGGTGAAGCGGTCAGAGACGCTGCTCACCTCTGTGTACAATTTAGTTGGAGATGCTGAAACAAAGAAAGCCAGCCTGTTGTTTTATTGTTAACTAATGTGACCGTCAGTCACACTGAGCTGTGACAGCACAGCGCTGTCGGTTTGTACGACAAACAGGGGTCAGATTGGGTCCAGCTGCTCGTGTGTTTCTGGCTCATCCTTGTACAGGATATAAACTCTACATTTGTAACAGCAGCAAAAAAAGCACATATACAAACAGAACAGAAACTTTTACAGAAAAAAATATTTATATCATGGGCAATAGTTACAAAAACAGAGTACGGTACAGTTATTAATATTATATAATATTATTAATATTAATATTTTATATTGCTGATAAAAATGGCAAACCCAGGTTGTAGTGTGCAGACAAAGCAGGGGACTGGAAGG